TTTGCCACCTATCAGAGGGCTGTGAGGTCGACTGTGTTCGCTGTGCCAACTAACCTGTCAGCGGAGGAATCAGGGTGTATCACCCACGTCAGTAGGTCACTTTCGCTAGTAGCGCAAAATTCGATAGATTAAAAACGGCCCATTCAACCAAAGAAGGCGTCGTGGCAATTGCCTATACACTGTCAACTTGGAACTACCATGTATCCTCCAACTGCAATCAGCCGAAGGTAGGTGAAGTATCCCACTCTACAGATTAACCTGTACGTGACGTAAGCTGCCCAAAACCGTGGTACGTGTCCACCGCTTAACATACACTATAGTGTCGCGACAGCGTTCGCTGAATTCCGATCACCGTGCGCGGGCTCAAACGGCATTCAGCACGGTGGAGTGAAGGCAGTGCGATGTACACACTGCGTCAACTATGTAGTGTGCACCAATTCACGCGTGACTTAAGTCGTGTAGCCGCATCAGGCATTACCTCATGTCTTTATGTTCCGCTCGCACTTTGCGTGATAGAATTCTCACGTGTCCACGGTTTGTGGCGGCCACAAAATGCAAGGAATAGAGCTCAGGAGTTTGTGCTAGCGTCCGTTTGCGTTCATAGGAATCCAGCACTCTACACCGCTCCGTCCCTGTCTCAGTAGTGCCGTGAGTCACGCGCGTGTCTCCAGTGCAGACCACCTTAGTTGACTATAACTGTCAACCAGAGGACACACTGCGCGCACTGCTAAACTTACATGGGGGGAAGGAGGCCAGAGAACAATGTACATCGTGCTCAACCGCTGCCAGGTCCAGAGGCATCACGTGCGTTTCGTCCCCCATGAGGCTTCAGTGTAGCCATTCACTGCTGAGTTTGAGTGTCGAACGTGGCAAATACCCCCAAAGCGCGTCCGTTCTGTGTGTACGAAGCGCTACTATGAAGTTGCTTACGGAGGAACATGACTTTTCTTAAGAAATCTGACTGTACTACGAATGAAATTGGCTGTGAACAGGCTTAATCATGCTCTTGTTCGCGCGCGTCTGTCCCTCTTCAAGCCTTGGCGAAACGCGTAATCACAAAGGTGGTGCCAGTAGATTGTATTCGTATTTCGCGAAGCAACAATATCACTCGAAATTGGAGCATCAGTTGTCAATAACGAACAGGGCTAAACTAAAGGTTGACTGGAATCGTTTAAACGTGACCCAGAAACTACTTGAAGTCACTTGTCCTCCCGGTTAAGACACTCCTGGAGCAAAACGATGGTGGTTCGTTCAGCAGCATTATATCACGCATCAGGACCCGATAGTTCGGCAACGTGTTGCGCATGCCAGCACACCGACTCCCGCGACGAGCGTAGTTTGCGCGCCTGGGGTCTGGATGGAAATGAAGGAGGGGAGGCCAAGCAATGACTTGGTCAAGAGAAATGAAAACCCTCACTTTGAAGTTGGCGTCGGTTAGTGCATCTCGATTGCCTGGCTGGGGTCCGAAGGACGGTGAACATGTTTGGTTGGACATACTCGCTGACATAGCTAGGAGCCATCCCCAATGACGTCTATGCTGTGAGTTTCTTTGTCCATCCCCCTCTCATTTAAGTTCCCCAATCAATCACGATCCAGTAACAAATTTACAATAGGATATTTAACATTATATTGCTTGATCTTTTTGAATACTTTTGTAGCGTTATTTTTAGTATCTTATGCTTTGGTATAGCGACACCTTAACGGAGGCGTGTTTCCCACTCTCAGTTAACGTGTACTGATGATGATGATGACCGTTATACCCAGAGACGACGTCTAGCTAGAAGTCACAGAATTGACAAGGAATCCCATCGGATGGCGAAGACTAGCAAGATTGAGAGTACGTGAACACTGTTACAGTTCAGACGCCGTACTGATCGAAGAACAGTTCCCGTTAGTGAGGAAAATAGACGGGTTGACTCTCAAGCACATCGAATAGAATGCTGTGTTGAGTGTATTGTAGAGCTCGGTGCATCAGGATTGCTAATTAGTTCACTTGGGGATCACCTGGGAATCTTATTTAACAACTTCGAGCATCGACGAGGTCAGCCACGAGCTGATATTGATAAAGCAGATCGAGGCGGCTGGTTCGGACAACATTATATACTCTTTACTGAAGGATGATGATGTCTTAGTAGTGAATGTCCTAGAGGTGCAACTAGAAACTAGGTTGCGCAAGGAAACAGGGCTTACTGACTGATGAGAACCAATCATTCTTCCTGTCTTCAAAAATGACTAAGAAACGTCCAGTGGACGTCATCGTATCAGCAGTCTGACTTCAAGTGCTTCCCAACTGCTCAGGTATATCAAAGTACAGCGTCTCGATGATCCTCGTGTGAAACGAATCACTGGGTCGGATTAATCTCCATCACCTTTTCCTTAGACAAGCGCCCGAATATTGCCACTTCTACAGGCATTCTTTCATGGTGGACCTGAAGTCCAACTCTGCTCCTGATGGTGTCTTTCCTTAAAGAAAGTACCTGAAGTTTCCCTCTGTGCTAAAATCCCTAAATCCCGACTACTGCGGCCTCTCCTAGAAGAGCAGTGCGTCAGGACTGCCACATTCTACCATTCCTCTTCATCTTTGCCATCGAGCTGACTAGCATCGAGTCCCTCCTGCCACCTTGTGCTGGATGACCGGCTGTCAAACTTAGAGTAAACGGTGACGTAGTTCTTTTGTGGGCGGACCCAGATGCAAACCGATTGCTACTGAATAGGTTGACGTATAGCACCTCGCGCTTTGGCATGTGTTTCGCATCTTGCAATCATCTCTGTCTTGATCTTGATGTCTGGTTATATATTCCGCTTGCTGATCGACTATCGCGGCGCACTGTCTCTAACTATCTGCTTACATGACCAATTCACTACGTCAGTGCGCTAAAGCGCAGTGAGGAGAATCATTCGGTGCGGTCACCGAACACTGGTCGTCATCACCTGTCCGGCAAACAGCAAACCCGGAGTTCGATAGGCGATTCAATTGAGCGTCCACATCATCAGCATCGGTTAGTATACGTGACCGCACGGGTAAGTGATAATAGCAGTCGACAGAATCCGTCCGTGTTTTTTAAGCTGCAATCATTTGGAATGTACAACGAAGCCCTAGCAAGGCACTTTATCCTCAGATAATGAGATCGAACCGCATACATACGACGACTGCTCCCCGGGACCGCTTTGAATAGATCTCCATCAACATGTCTACTCAGGACAATACCGACACCATAAATATTTCGAATGATTGACACGGTATCATCAAAGAAAATTAAAAAAATGTAATAGTCGTCAAGAGACCCTGGATTAAGTTCCTATTATTTATTATGATGCTATTTTGTATTCGTATTTTAGAGACCCAGTACATATCACTTTTAAACAAATGAAGAGTTAATGGGAGCAAGCGTTGCTAGTTGACTGAGCTGAGGTGGAGAACGGATGTTGAAAGGGTTAGTGTGAAATCGGACACTTGTTTCCATCTCGGCAGCAGCCCCTTGTTCGTTAACCTGGGAAGAGACTTGCAATTTGGAAGAAATAAAGCAAAAAAAGCATTGGCGATAGGGTTCAGATGACACTCACTGGCTGCGCTTTGAGAGGACGTTATGCTCCAGATTTCCGAACCTCTCACCTTCCACTCGGTAGTCCGACCCACAAAGCACTAAGCTAAGCCAAGACTTGCATGGTGCACTACACTAATCTCTTTGGGCAATGTATCGATGTTACTTAGCTGACCACCCATTCACAAACGTAACCATGGAGCAATTGATTCCCAACTAGGATGACGCCTAATTCCGAACTCAATTGTCCCAACCCTAACACATACTCCTGATTGACTATGCTCAATCCGACGCTCCCCTGAGAGCTGACAGAGAAAAACAAACTGTTTTAATTCTACCAATCGGATCTTTTCTGTAGCAGGGCAACGCCTATGCTAAGGTTATTGCGTTCTTTTGGGGAATGTAAGAGCAACGATAATGGAGTATCCAAATCTACTAAGCTCTACCCCTGTGTCATAGCCTGTTTTTGCTTGGGTACGCTCATTGCGAAGATTTCTTATTCTGATAAGGGTGAAAAAGATAAATAGATAAAATTCGCTGTTTAGCCAAGTGGCAAAACGCGCTCCGTTTACCGTAAGTATGTGAAATGCGTAAACTGCCTAGAAAACCATTTTAGATCTTTGCCCATGGATTTGTATAGTCAAGTTGGTTCAAAATGGAACTCATCGTGGATTTCTTTGCGCGTGATTTGACAAACCAGATAAAACTTGACTCTTTATGGATAAGCTGAAAAAAAGCCACACTAAGTCCGCTGCCACATTATGGGTAGCAGTAGCGAACAATCCACGGCCTATAGTCTACAAAACGAACTAGAGTAAGATATCCGTGGCTTTGATTGAGGAGACATCCGTCGGTGTACCGCAAATCACGGGAAAGTATCGGTGGAGTGTTGCGCTGAAACCCAGCTGTGAGTAGTCGCTTCAACAAGAGGGTTCATGAAGATTTTACAATAACCCGTTTGAGATTAATTTCATTTGCTCAGTGTTATAGTAAGTACTAGTATACGTACTGGTAAGCATGATCACAGTAAGTTATTTAATCCCGTGTTGTGATTTATGCATCCCAGTGATCGCGTATATATACGTTCGATCAGGACGTCATCTATCACTGGACAAGCAGTGCTTCTTCACTGTAGCAAGTCATGCACAGTCAGATGTAGACGCTTCCCACTGCATAGTTAATGCTTTTGGAAGAAGTGTGTGCGGCAATCAGATAGCACTGAAAAGGAGCACCTTACAATGTACTCTTCTATACAATGCGAACTCTCACAATGCAGCAATTGATCGGATCTTGTCGAACCGATTGAGGGCGGAGCAGATGAGTGATTTACAACTGCACAACTACAACACAGTCAGATAAGCATATCCAATGATGTACGACGCACACCCAGCCACAATTCGATCGGTGTTGACGAGTTGTTGGAGTGAGAATTGTGAATCCAGCGAAGTGGTAATAAATTCAATCGAGCTGGGGACATGCTTTTCCTTTTCGAGCACGTTTCAGAAGTCGGTAATCTTCATTCAATTCAGCTAGCTCTTCGGGATCCAGCTGGGGCTTTGTATCATAGGACTGATGGGAATCCGATGATGGATGACCCAATGATTTGGCACGTCGAGTAGTCTTCTTTCGATTACGCATCTCTTTAGATTTATGCCACGGCTTGTTCTATATTTGAGAGAAACAAAATTGAAAGGTAATAATCAGGCCGCAATCAGAAAACAAAATCAAAAGTATGCATAAAACTCTGAAACAACCATTGAACTTTCTCACCATCTAACAAGTCATGAAAATTCCCGAGAAAATACACAAATCAAGGAATTGAATGCGCACATTTGTCGTGTTCGAGTAGTAAAACCGACAAAGGACATCAACAGAGTCTGCCTATCGCTCTAATCTGGTGGAAACATCTAAGAAGTGAACCTGATCTCTCGTTTATATATAGGTCTTCTGGTACAGAACTAGGTGGCTTGTTATCATGGGAAAATGCTCCCACAAAATTCGCGAGCTGTCTCAGCTACACTTGCGTTTGATGCAAATCCTCCCGCTTGTGTGAACTCACATGTCCGCAAACTACGCCCTTGCTTTCCTCGCGTTAGACCCGAGCGCATAGCAATGCATGTGTGATTCACACATGCCACCTTCTGCCGGATCGCATAAATACTCGTGCTAAAGGCCAAGCCCCCTCCCCCCCACCTATTAGCTGTTGCGCTCGGGTGTCTCATGCGGTTAGTGTTCGTCTCGTTTATGCCACCAAAAGTCGGAGATGTAGTCAGAAAAGAGCGTGTCGTTCGTTCCGACAAGGAAAGTCCTAATAATTAGGCCGGCATAATACTTGCCCAGCGTGTGGCCCAAGTCGATTCCACCACGGCTATTGGACGTCTTTAAGTGACATTCCTTGGCATACGTTGGTTGATGCCGCGGTACATAGTTATCCCAAGTGTCAGAATGGCCAGACATGATTAATATGGATGAAGTGAATGACCGGATGACTGCATTTCGGACACTTGGTGCGCCGGAATCAGCCACATACGTGAAGTACTTGATCCCCCACGTGATGCGTCCACGCTGTCAATGACGTCATCACATTTGTGAACCTTTAGTGCAAGGTGTTTGTCCTTAAACATGAAGATTCGGCGAGTACGTGATGTCTACCTAGAATTGCAGTTGGATGCGGGACTGGGAGCAGGCAGCATAGGAAATAGCTACTGAGTACGTGAGCAGTGAGACATTTCCCTTCAGAATTTCTAAGCTTAACTGCCGCTGTTAGGCCATCAATATCGTAGTGATGAAAGTCCAAGCAACGGAAATACCCCAACTTTTTTGACGGCAGTATACTTGTGTACCTATCTATTCCGAGTAGTTGAAAACAATGTGTCTTTAAAGGAAGAGTTATCGGCGAATCGAGAGATCCAAATGCTGTCCGTAGATGCTGGACTAATTCACGGAGACGGTTCTTTTCCGTAGAATATCCTGCAGTGCGGGAATTTGATACCAACAGATTGTTGAAAAATACGGTACAACAGTCGATTTCGATCGTCTGTCAAAGACGACCACGTCCACGGTGTACACAAGCTTTGGAATTGTGTGGAACGCGTGCAGATGATCACGTTTTCTAATGGCAGTTAATACCCACACATCAGTGTTCGATCAGACTGAACTAGCGGATAACATTCGGAGGCAAGACACCATGTTGCAAAGTATTAATCTGATTGGTAAACTCATGATGGAAAGAATACCATTCAGCTAAGTGTGCTTGAGCCGCACGATCCACTCAACTTTTAGGGGTCACATGATCGCTTGTTGTTGTCAGAATAAACCAACTGTTAATTTATTCTATTTATATCTTTTATTCTTGGCGTTCGTGCACGATGAGCGGAAGTATGGACAGACAAAAAGAGAACTGCTCACCCGATAAATTTGGTGTTCAAATAAGTGTGATGGCAAAACACGCTGTATGAGAGTATATGTGGCTCCAATTATTTATGGGTGATTCATAGGCTCTCTATCCACTGATCCCATGTGAATAGCCAAAATGCGAAGGTCAACGTTGTTGTTCACATATGATTTCCATTCTCATGTTTTTCTAACTTCGTTGAGTCTTAATGCTTGGCTGGGTCACCGGTCAAGAATACGTGCAAACATCGCTGAGATTTTGAAAATACCTGGTACGACAGATCAGAGGGATGCTAGCTTGTCCCGTCGCACTTTTGGATCCCGTCTGCCTAGGTGAGTAGCACGTTTTGTCCCGAAAAAACATATCAACAAACGGTATCTCGGCATGAAAAAATCAAATGACATCATCACGTAGGTGGATGCGCACGGTGGGAGAAAAAGTCACGTACCTTCTTGAAATCTTTCATTTCTTGAGTCGCAAGAACCAATCGAGATAGCTCCCGTTGTTTGGCGACGCTTTTTTCCCTAAAAGTGACAAAGCAAGAAAACTGAGATGAGCAGTGTGGAAAAGCACTTTTGGAGGGAACGGTTTCCAGACTGCGTAAAGCAAAAGCCATAAAATACGCTCGTATAACAATCACTTACAGACGAAATAACGTACCGATATTTAAGCATAGAAGGATCAACTTCAGTGGGCGTGAAAGACTCTGTATTGGCCTCTCGAAGCTCCGGCATCCTTGGCAGGTGAAGCAGTCCGAAGGCGTTGGCCAACATTCCCATATCTAAAGCTGATTATCAAAGATTGAAAAGAAAAAACCACGGGATAAAAACAGTGAAAGGCGCTGCGCCTCAGTCAGGAAGTACCCAGGTAACAGACCGTGTTAGGGTGGCCTACGGGTAATCAGAAAACAGATAAAGCCGAGTAAAGGCTGTTGCGGAGGCAGAGTAACTCTAAGTGCGGACAGGAGCACAAGTGCATAGCTAAGGCCGTTGGATATCGAGCAAGGCGCACACACACAAGACAGTGACAAGAAGCTAGCCGTAGAGACCAAAGGTAAAGCGGTCTGAGGCCAAGAAAAATCCGAAGAGCCTAACTGTTCTACAGTGATATCGGTAGTTTATGTATAAATATAGATAAGTACGGAACCACTTTCTAGTATGCCATGTCAAATAAACAGTATTCATTAACCGATAAGACCACATCCGATACAGCCATATCAACAAAGCTGTCCCTACCAACAAGCTAACCGAATTTGTTTATCTGGCTACTGAAATCCTCAGTTGATACGCCACCCCTATACCCAAACTGTACAAGTATTCCATGTCAAATATACCTTTACGCAGTCATAGTTCTTTCAAATTCCTCCTTAAGGAAATGTTGTGCCACCATATATCCCTCAAGATCGTCCTTAACACCATCAAATTGCATACAACGGGCGCAAACGCCCCTAAAGTATACGTAGTGTACGTTGAGTGACCAACCCCAAAGCAACCGCTGGTATGACAGATGAGTACATAGGTATAGTTGTACCGCGATTGCATAAACAAATATTAACATTACGACGATGCGGACGCATTGACTGAAAATCCTAGGACGAATCTCAAGAATAATGCTGATCTCCGCACTTTACGAGGTGTGCCATACGAAGACCAGTGCAAGACACTAGGAATTTAAATCTTGTCTTATAATCGATTGCGGGTTGACCTCATCAAGACGCACCGGATAGTACATCTTGGTGATTAACCCATGTTGAGGCCGCTGCTCCATATGCGTATAGCAAGCAGCACACGAGGGCACCGGTACAAGCTTGCAGTTCCGGATTTGAAGCGACTCACCGGCCAAATGTGCTTCGAATGGAGAATATTTTACACATGGAACAATCTGCCGTCACACTTAGTTGAGGTAAAGTAGTGTCGGAATTCAAGAAATTCCTGGACAAACACCTTGCTGATATGAAATATAGCGAATACTCTCCAACATAACAGGTCACTATATCTGAGGGACTTCAGATAGAGTACACAGAGACATCTCTTTCTGCTGCTTCCATTCAGCATTCCAGTGTTTCTCCAACCAGGTTCACTTTCTCCACCATACCAACGTTCTCACATACAACCAAGAAGAGCAAGTGAGGGATGTGGCACATGAAATCGCTTGATGAGCAGACGCCAGGTATAAATCCGGATGAAAAGTTTCAAAGTCAAAGGTAAACTAATGAAATCATCTCCAGCGCCCCAAAATGCAAAAAAATAACAAGAAAATGCCACAACGATCGCGTACATGTTCGTTGTCTCATTGTGACCACATTGTTGTAAGGGAGGCAGCATGGCGATTGTGATCCTCAGATTGGGCATGTATGGCAAAAATCCTGGCGTGTATGAGGACACAAGCATCGACACCAGAAAAGAGTAGAACAAAACGAAAGACGACACCGGGATCACGCTTATTTCTGGTCCTCGGAAATGATCTCGCTCACCGCCCGAAAATCCAATGTACCAAAATCCTGGACGATCACAAAACACCAAAAGCAACCTCATCATCATCATTACACACGTTAGCTGCAGGTGAAAAACACCTCAGCTATTGTGTTGCAATATAAGACAAGAACAAAACAACAGTGGCACGCCGGCTGAGTCCCCAGTAACGGATGGACATCGTTCCGGAGAGCTAACAGCCGGCTATTGTGCCGCAAAAGTCATATTATGCCTAACGAATGGCATCGTGATTGGAGGGTGAGGCCAAGTAGGAGGGGGTGGACAAAGGAACTCACAACACAAACACCATTGGGGCCGGCTCTTCGACATATCAGCAAGTGTGTCTAAGCAAACGTATGCATCGTCCTTAGGACCCCAGTCAGGCAGTCGAGATGCACCAACTGACGCCGACTTCGAAATGAGAGTTTTCATTGCTCTCGACCAAGTCATCGTTTGACCTCCCCTCCTCTTCTAATCGCACCCCAAGCGAGCAAACAACGCACGTCGAGGGAGTCGGTGTGCTGGCATGCGCAACACGTGGCCCAGTCATCGGAGTCTAGTGCGTGAGATAATGATGCTGAGCGGTACATTCAGTCTGCCTGCACCAAATACACGATGCCGAACACGCTCATTGATCACGCGGTGTTCCTACCAGACATGAGCTACGCTGCGGAGGCAGCGATGATCAAACGTGACTAGCCTCTTTATGTCTGCCGACCAGATGGGCCAAGTTTCACGATCGTATAAGAGGGTTTAACGGACCGCTGCATTATAAACTCTGTCCTTCAGGGCGAGAGTGATGTCGCGTCTGCGATACGGGTGGCGGAGAATGGTAAAAGCACCTTGAGCTTTTGTTATGCCGTTCGTAATCTCAACTTCGATCCCACGGGCGCTAATATAGCTGCCCAGGTACTTGAATTCCTGACCGACTTTTAGTTGATCACCACCAAAGGTCAGCAATGGGGTGGGTCCTTGCCAATCTTGGTGAAGAACTTTGCTTTTCTATGGAGCAAGGCATAGTCCAAAACGATGGACAGCCAGTGCTAATCGGTCCAGTGCAGCGTGGCACGTTTGGGCGCTGTCACATATGATGGCAATGTCGTCTGCATCCTCCAAGTCAAGAAGTTGCTCACTGGAAAGTAGCCCCACACCTTCTAGGTCGTGTCCAGCAAACGCTGTTTCCATGACTTCATCAAAAGCGAAGTTAAAGAGGGAAGGTGACAGCGGGAAACCTTGTCTCACACCGTTGGAGATATCGAAGAGCTGCGACAGTTTGCCATAAACCCTCACTCTACCCGAAGTATGCGCGTACTGCGCTTTGATAATGTTTTCCTATTTATCGCATACACGTTTTCTCAGCGGACACTCCCAATGGGCACATCGATCCATCAAATCTAAGACACCTTTGATATCGAGAAACACGACAACGGTGGGTCGCCAGTAAACATGGCAGTGCTCCAACGACTGACGTAATGTGAACATGTGGTCGATGCAGCCTCGATTTCGACGAAACCCGGCTTGCTCATCACTGATCTGACCTTCACGAGCGCCAGTCAATCTGTGGAGAACGACAGACGCAAGCAATTTAGAGGCAATTGAGATCAGACTGATCCCTCTAGGGTTGCCGCATTCCGAACGGAAGCCTCCCTTGACAATCGGGACTATGACGGGGCGGCTCCAGTCTGTTGGGACAGTTTCCTGCTCCCAAACGTCCAGTAGGAACTCATGTATACCATCTACAAGAGCAGGTCCCCCGAATTTTTAGAGCTGGTGGAATTCAATGTGCATCAGCGGCCTTATGCAATTTCAACAGTCTGATCTCACGTTCGACTTCTGCGCGTGAGGGCGGACCTAAGGAGACGACCCATGGAGAAGCGCACTCAATGCCCGAAAAGAAAGTGATAACAGATTGGTTAAACTGCCTTGCAAACTGTTCGGCCCAACGCTCCAAGCGTTTTGACAAGCTGTGGATCGGCTGTCCACACTCGTCGCGTAGTGTCTCACTAACACCAGATCTGCTGCCTATTTCCCGTATCAGACCGGATAAAGTAACAATGTTTACCAACCGTAGCGGCTGTTTCCAATTCCGATGCACAATGAGACCATCAGGCTTCGCGGTCTCTCTTCAAGGTAGCAGGCACTTTTGCCGTGAGCTTTTTTCGATTCTCATTGTATTCCCTTCCAGCCGGAATACGTCGGCGAGCATTCAGAAGTTCCAGAGACCTAATGTATAGCTTTGCAATTTGATTTGCCACATGAAGACATGTTTGCTGATAGTAACGTTTGGCGAATATGCGACCAGTGACCTTCGACGGTGTTCAGTTGATGCTTACTCAGCCCAGATGCCAGCGTAGTTTGATACGCATTCAGAACACCTGGCTTCGCCGGCTGGCTGGTGTCATTGCGCCCAGAGAAATGTTGCGGACGTCCACCGAAACGCACCCGCGGGTCGGCGTGATTGGAGTCCACGCTGGTGCTCCAAATCGAGCGACAATTTTGGACACAGACTCTCCAGCGGTAACTAATCGCGATGTGATCGATTTACGCCCATGACTGGCCCGAGACTGGTGGGTGCCAAGTCACTCTTCTGCGGGTGTTATGTCGAAAGTTAGTGATCGCGAGAAAGAGATGAGCACCTTCAAGCAGGTGTACCAACCGCTCACCGTTATCATTCCGGGAGCCTACGCCATGTTGGCCTACCAGATGAAGCTCATCAGAGGACAATTTTCTGACTTGAGCCTTTCTATCGCCAGCAAACACCACATTATCCGTGTTTCTTCTATAACGAAGAAGATCGTTAAGTCGGTGATAGGAATCATCTTTCATCGAATCAGGAATGCATTTTTGGGGCGGGCGTAAGCTACAATGACAAACAGGTACCGTTTGTCCCCGTGCGACCTCGAAGCCTGGAACGAGTCAGCCAACCTAACGGCGCACACCTGGCTGTTGACAGGGATCGAGTCGATCAGGGCAGCTTCAGCCCAGGGGACTCAAAACAATGCCGACGCCAGCTTGACCGCCATTTGAAGCTGCATCATCGCCAGACAGGCGCAATGAGAATGTACCGCCAGTGTCGCATGTGGGGGAACTCAGAGTAAGCACAGGCTTCGAATCTTTCAGGCGGGTTTCGAATAAACAGCAAAAATCGACCGAGAGGGTCACGAGTGTTCGGTTAGGTGCTGCCTGTTGTCCAATCTTTAGCAGTGCGTACGTTAAGGCATACCAGTCTTAGCGAGGATCGCGGACTCCTAAGGGAAACGGATGAACTGACGTTGTCTGCTTAGTTGAACATGGGCTTGTCGACTGGATTGGAGCG